TTTTAGACTCAGACTTCTAATAAAATAAGGGGCTCACATGTGAAGCTTTGACCTCAGAACGAGATAGATTTCTTGTGTAATTCTCTTAAAAAGCTAAGCATCTTTATACTCATTTTTTTGTCTGAAGAAGTTAACAGAATTTTTGTAAAATGTTGTGGGAGGGATAAAAAGCTATGAAAGAGCCCAAACTATCTTCCAGATGTTTTTATCTCAACCTACCTTCTAACTTCTTTTGCACCAAGCAGAGAGAAATCTTTGTGATAGAATCCCTGCATAGTTAGTATATTGGTAAAGGTTCTCCACAGAAACAAAACGATAAAATGTGTGTGTGTGTGTGTGTGTGTGTGTGTGTGTGTGTGTGTGTATGTAAAGTATGATAGCTTGACAAGTTCAAAGATCTTCAAGGTAAGTTGGCAAGATGGGGTCTCAAGAGAGGCCATACTTATTCCTAGTTCAAAGACCAGGAGGCTTGAGACCCAGGAAAAGCCAAAGTTTCAATTCATGTCCAAAAACTGAAAAAACCAACAACACAGTATCCAAGTTCAAAGTCAGTATGGCAGGAAGAATTCTCTATTACCCCAGGAGGGTCAGCCCTTTTTTGCTCTATTCAGGCTTTCAGGAGATTGGATGAGGCCCAGCCAAAGTAAGAAGGTCCATCTGCTTTACTCAGCCTAACAATTCAAATGTTAATCTGATCTGGAAACTCCCTCCTAGACAACTACAACAACATTTGACCCAATATCTGGACACCTTGTGATCCAGTCAAGTTGACACATAATATCAACCATCATAACAAGAAATTCTATATGAAGATGTAATTTCTAATCTTTGTGCATTCCTAAGGAAGACTTGGCCAATCCAAGGTTAGAGATCTAGATCATACAAGGTTAGCGGACTCAGTAGTACTTCGTTTATTTTTCAGATCTCTCCATTTCAACTAGGGGAGAAATCAGCAACCTACTTTATATTTTGTCAAATTCAGGAAAAACTAAGAATAACAACCTGTAAGCAAACCTTTCATTTGCTCAATCAACAAACCTCAGTCAAACAGCACTGTGGTAGGACGAAAAGACGAGTGAGACAAGTCTTTGAAGGCTCAAAGCACGTTTTCCCCAGGTTGAAATTCCCTCCTTGTATAGGCTTTCAAATGTTGTTTTAAAAAGGAGCTTTAACTAGAGGCTGAACTCACTTTTATTTTTTTATATTTTAATTTTATAATTTATTTTTTTTATCAGCAGAGACACCTTCCCCCCTTCAAACAAACTGTACACAAAATTCCCATGTAAATAAAAGAGATTCATGTGCAGCCAATTGTTCTAGTGGGTGGTTGAGTGAGGAAACAGGTCTGATGCCTGTCCACTTACTTGGCTTCCCTTTTGTTCAACATCTCCCTTTGACCCTCTGCCACAACGCTCCCAGGGGTATAAAAAATAAAGTTTTAAACAATTTATCTATTTAATATTCTTGCCGTGTTTTATTCATTATATATAAAAAAAACTTTACAGCAGCTTTGGATATTTATTTTTCAGTTCCCCTATGACTCATTTTGTGTTCAATTATTTATCTTCATTCTTCATAGGGTTGTTTTTTAAATTTAACTTTTCCTTTATGTTCTTCCATTGTATGTGTTTAAAACTATATATATATATAGAAACACACTATATATATATATATATATATATATATATATATATATGTATGTATGTATTAGTGTGTTTCATTTTATGGAAAGTTCAGAGGATCTTAGTGACATCCAATAACTTGCTATTTTACTGACGAAGAAAAGCATGTATTTTGAAATATTTAAACAAGGCAAGACAAAACAAACCATCTAGATAAAAAGTGTGCCTTTTCTACAACCTTGGACTTTTCCAGTTAGAATTCTGGTTCTTGGGCTATGGGTTTTTGTGGTTCTGTCAGGGGACCAATTCATAATTCCTCTTAACTATGATAGAAGTTATGATTGATTTCACAAGTGATCTGGTTACCACACATTCTTCATTACAATGGTCCAGCAAAGACAGTAAGAGATACTATTCTTATCATCATAAGGAAAGAAGGCTGCTGTTTCACAGCCTGAGGGAAAAAATGTCTGGAAAGTTCAGATATGAGTGGGCAATTGCAGCAACCAGGATTCTATATGAGCAAGACAACTAAGGGTCTAACCCCATACCTCACAAGGCAGAAACTCAGACCAGCTGAAGTGCTAGTAAAATATGAAAAAAATCTGGAATGAATGGTAGAGAAGATTGATGATTAATATTATTAATTATGCCCCAAGAATCAGCTAGAGTTTTAGATATTGTAGCTTGGTTATTGCCTCTCCTTAAATTTTGGGAATAGCAACTAGTATGACTTTGAAGAATTGTACTTGAACTTCTCTTAATTGGGATATATAAGGAAAGTTGTGTTATGTGCTCCCTTGATACCAGAAAATGATGCAAGTGCATTAGAGTTGTGCAAGGTGGTGCCCAGTTTATGTGCTTTCCTATACTGGCTCAACTCTAGTGTGTCTTCATTTTTTATCACTTATTCAATGGAGATCCCCATATATTGTTTCATTGTCACTTGATTTCCTAACTCCACCATCTGTATTAGCCTCCCTGAAGATTATAACCAGGCATTAGCATGCCTCCGATGGCATCTACATGGAAAGATCCAGAGTGGCTCTGGCACCTGTGTCATATCAGACCAGAACCGGAAAGTTCTGTCTTCACCGGGATATTGCTTCCCCAGTGGCTACCCAAAGAGATAGATTACACAACCGAGTGCAAAGGAGTTAATATCCCACAGACTGAATCTTTACCTGTGAAATATTGAAGTTTTCTATTTTGGTACACCTAATTATCTTCTATTTTTATTTATATTAATGTATTAACCTAATAATTTATTTAAAATTTTTTAAACTTACACTACTTTCTTTCTCTGCCTCACTTTATTTTACAACTTGTTCATTACTCCACTCTGTTTATGACATCTTTATTCTGTAGTTCCCTTATATTTGACTGTTTTTAATGCAAAGGTACCTTATGTTGGTTATATGTCTCTTTCAGAATGTGTACTTTTGCAATGCCATTTCTTAGAACAAAAAAGCTGTGAATGCCAGATTTCTCTATGTATTGTATTTCTGTGTATAAATTTTGACATAGTGGAAGAGTGTAGTAAAATTTAAATGAAACCTTATGGACTAATCCCAGCATAGTTTAAGTCATTCCCCACAGATCACTAAACTTTTCTGACTACACTTTTCCAGGCTTTTCTTAGGCAAGGAGGTGTATACCATCTTCAGATTCCACGCCATAGTAAGGATCTTTGCTATCTCCCTCTCTATCTCCCTAATCACCTCCTTTTAATTATTGCTTCTGATAATGATTCAGAGGCAACATAAATTTTAAACCTACTAGTATTAAACATCTATTATTAAGCAGAAATATGTAATTGATATTTCTATCATAAGTGTATATTGGAAGTACAACGTAAATCTTACAAATTAAATTGATATATTATACTAGCTATCATCCTTTGATTTGACCTAATTGTCCAGGTTTTTCTAAACTTGGATATCTCCAGTTTGGGGGATTATTTGTTTGCATTGGTGGTGGTTGTTGCTTGTCTTGAATTTAAATACTCTGGGACTTGCTTATACGCAGAGAACTTGACTCCCCTATTCTTCAGCCTTCCCTCAGACCTCATCTTTGGTCATGAACTTCCTTTACTCTCACTGTCTATTGATTAATTACTCCTTCTCCCACAAATATTGTGTGATGACAGCTAAACTGTGGATCGGTTGAGAATGAGATGATTGTTCAAAAAATTATAAAGACCTCAAATGAAAGATACAGTGTATAGCAAAACTACACCGCATCCCCACTGAAACAGAACAAAGACAGCAACAAACATTTGGAACCAAGTCACATCTTTCCACACCATCCATTACTCTTGCATTTAACAGGATGTTAAAGATTCTTCTTCTGAATTTATTAGCTTGGTATTTAGCATGTTTCACAGACAAAATAGCAAAGAAGGTTCATTATTGCTGGTTAAATTAGCCTCATGAAAATGTTGTTGGTAAAAGGTTACAGAAATGAATAAGAGATTTAACCAAGCAGCATATTAAAACCATATATCATTATAATTTGAAAAGGCATTCTGATTATTTAAATTAACTTGGATAAAGGGTAGAGAATTAGATAAAAGTTAATAATTAAAACCTAAAGGCATGATTAGCTTTTCCTTTTGATAAAGAAGGGGCAAAACTTATGCAACATTTACTTAAATTGGCCTCATGGGAGAAACTGAGACCAATAAAATCATACCTGATCATTCTATTTATTGGCTTTAAAAATTATATACATATTTTATATAAATTAGATTACCTGAATATCTTATGCTTCCTTCAGGCATAGTCTGATTGTCCTTCTCATTTGATTTCATTTTGGATGGTCAAAGCCTAGAACTTAGCATTTTTCTGTTGAGGTTTTTTCAACTGAATGGTCTCTATGTATATTAGCTAGTCTTTGCCATCTTTGGGAAGAAAATTTTAAATATCTATTTTTATTGATTTCAGAGAGGAAGGGAGAGGGAGATAGAAACATCAGTGATAAAAGAGAATCAATCATTGATCGGCTGCCTCTTGTAATCCCCCTCACCCCCGCCCCCAGCACTGGGGATTGAGCCCACAACCGGATCATTTGTCCTAATAGGGAACTGAACCATGATTTTCTGGTTCATAGGTCGACACTCAACCGGCCAGGCTTTGTGAAATTTTTATCAGTGAATTTAACCTGTACTTTTTTCTCTTTGATATGTTTAATGTTTGTGTGACCTAAATTATTCATGTCTTTCTTTGTGTTAAAATGATTATTTCCCCCCTAAAAAGCACATAGAGCTTTCCCCAAAAGAATGGCAAATCAATTTTTTATTGGTTTAACAACCCTAATTAAGCAGTTTATGTATATGGACTTACATAAAAATGTTGTCCTCTTTCCCATTCTTAACAGGAACCAGGAGCTAAAAGAACTTGGTGAACTCTCTCCTCATTGGGACAATCTACGGAAAAATGTCCTCACTCACTGTGATCAAATGGTCAATATGTACCAAGATATTCTGACAGAACTCAGCAAGGAAACAGGTGTGAAAGCAATAACTACATATTGAACCTGTGCTGCATTTCATATATGTTATATGAAAACAATAATAAACATTATTATGGTTATAGAAGAGCCAATATTTTTTAAAGCATCTTATAATTCCATATTGGCATGAAAAATAACAAAGAAAAAATGCACTATTTCACCTCATGGTATTATTCTAAAGGTAATTGAGAGTTTAAAAAAATTTAAATATCTGAGAAGAAAAGCAAATTATATGGTTGTATTTTCTTTCTAAAGTTTTTGTAACAGTTCTTTATGTCAAATTTATTTTTCAGCAAATGTACACACACATGTCCTCATTATTTATTTACTAGTAATAATTATGTTTCTTTCCACCTAGGGTCCTCTTTCAAATCAAGCAGCAGCAAAGGAGAGAAAACATTAGAATTTGTTCCAATAAATCTACACCTGCAGAGGATGCACGTACACAGCCCTCACCTGAAAGGTAGTGTATAGTATAGTATTATTTTCAAAATAGGCAACTTGTGTTTCTTTAAAAATGTCCACTATTGGCAGACTTTACAATTTAAGCATTTATATGAAGTAGAGATGAAACAGTTGAAACTGATAATAACCCTGAATAGTATAAAAGGCGAGAAAATAAGTTGGGAGCCAAAAACCAGAATTACAGGCTTTATTAGGGGAAAGAGACCTGTGGGGCTGTCTCACTTGGGAAGAACAGTAACACATGCAGAGGTGAGCACACCTGTTTAAGGGGAGGAATGGGAAGGAATGGGGGCTTAGTGTACTCGGCACGTACTGATTGGTGGCTTAATATATGGTCATATAGGAACAAGGGGTTAGGGTATCTGGCAGGTGGTTCAATGCATAATCCATATAATGTGCCTGGTTAGGTACTCAGATATTTCCAGGCCGCAGGTTAGGTTATACTCTGCCCACCAGTTGGAGGAAGGGAGGATCTATCAAAAGGAACTATTATTTTTGTTGTTCCTATGCTTCTGAGTACTACTTTGTCAATGTAGCACCTAAACGGAGTTGCAGGTGAATATGCAAAATGAAATTTAGCTTCTTTAAGTAGTGTCAATGACTCCTAATAGCTACCAATCATGCTACTGTTTGGATTGGAAAAAAAGAAAAAGGCAAGACAAGCCTTGTTCATCATTTACTGACCTTGAGAAACCAAAGCCACAAGTTGGACTCAAATTGTTTGTCTTGGTAGTGACTGTCCTTTTAACCAAGAATTTGGCAAATGAAAGAACTGAAATAAAAATTATATGGATTGGCCCAAGGCAGGTAGGAATTTTTGATTACTGAGTGTCTGTCAGCAATTTGAACGTAACTTATAATGGTTTTAAAATCATCAAAACCAGAGTATCAACAAGTAATAAAGAAACTAGAGTACTTAAATGCTATCTGACAATCAACGTGATTTTTTTTCCTAATGGCTGATATGAATAGGCCTTTATGATACAGTAAAATAGGCCTTTATGATACAGTAAAAAGTTTATATTTTTTGGAGAGGAATGGAATAGAATTGCAGCTTCACCAGTTTTTATTAAGTTGGTTATTTATTCTTTCTAACCTGTGTTGTTCTCTTCCAAATGAAGTGAATTAGAGTATGTAAAACACCTAGAATGAACGATAAGAGTTTCCATGATATATGTGGCCTTTGTCATCACTGGAACAAAATGGGTTTATCAGCTCTATCATGTCTTTTAAAGTGATTAGTAAAGAGACAATAATATCTAAGGAGGTAGCCAGATGCAGAGGGAAGATGATTTAGAGAGGCAGAGGCATTTTGGAAACGTCATCACATGCAAGTATTTGATGACGGATAGGATGATGAAATGAGAGAGAAAGATGACCTGGGATGTAGCCATGGGTGGATGATAGAAGTATCACCAAACCAGGTAGTTTGTCATGGCCAAGTCGATACAAGCTTGTATTTAAATATACATTAAAATATTTGGTGATGATCCTTAAAATACTTCCGCCAAACAAAGAGAAATTATTATCTAAGTGGCCTTGTACATCATCTTTATTTATTGAAAATGATAGAACTATTTACATTATGCTGTCTTTTGCCAAGATACTATTTGAAAAATAGACTAGAGTGGGCTAGGTGAATGCAATGCCTTTAGTTTCTGCTTCTCCAATTTAACATGAAGAAACTAGAAACTAAATGAAAGAAATTTAGAAAAGCAAATAAAATTTCTTCTACATAGTTTGGTTTGGGAAATGTACCAGTGTCCTAGATCTGCCATAGCAAAGCACCATAAACTGGTTGGCTTAAACAACAGAATTTTATTGTCTCACTATCTTGAAGCCAGGAGTCTAAAATCAAGGTGTCCGCAGAGCCAAGCTCCCTCTGGAACTTGTAGGTCCATGATTGGCAAACTGGGGCTCTCTAGCGACATGCGGTGATTTGGCCCTTTGAGTGTGACTTTTCCACAAAATACCATGACCTGGGAAAGTCTGTTTTGAAGAAGTGGCATTAGAAGAAGTTTAACTTTAAAAATTTGTCTCTCAAAAGAAATTTCAATCATTGTACTGTTGATATTTGGCTCTGTTGACTAATGAGTTTGCTGACCACTACTGTAGGGGAATCCTTTCTTGCCTCATCCTAAATCCTTTTTTCCCCCTGGCAATCTTTGGTTTCCTTTGATTTGCCAAAGTATCACACTGATCCTCCATCTTCACATGGTGTTCTCCTCTATGTTCTTCTCTGTGTCCAAATTCCCTTTCAAGGACACCAGTTATATTAGATGAGGGCTCATCCTAAGAACCTGATTTCAACTTGATTAATCTGTAGAGACCCTATTTCCAAATAAAGTTGGTTTCTAAGATAATTTACCCATAAGAAGATATATGGAGGAACTTTTTATATGTGATAATAAAATCAAACAGTGGAAAAAAAAGCAAGATTTTGATGTTAGAACTAAGGTATAACTTATAAACTAGAGAATTTTTGACATAATAGTTTTCAGAAAGACTGGTTCCTTCCTTTAAAGTATTTAAGGAGAAAACTTAGGAAAGAACAAGTTTTCCTACAGCCAAGAATTAAGGTGAATGTACTGAAATCTATTGCATAATGTATTATATTATATTAGTATGTATATTGCATGTATAAAATATGTATAACATTCAATATTTGTTTTAAAATATTTATTTTTCTAAGTTTAAAAGTTATTTGAAGTTGGATTTCAAATAAAATAGGTGCTTTATAGACTAGATATTATGGATTTCAAATAAAATAGGTGCTTTATAGACTAGATGTTATAGACTAGACTGTAACAACTATTGAATATATGTTACAGTAGAAATTGAAAATGACTGAATTTTTAGGGACTTATAATTTCTTTGACTGTAATCAAGTTAATAACCACTCTGAGCTTTGCTTTACTTACTTGCAAAATAAAAATTAAAAGTTGTAGATGGTAGTCAATCAAATCTCCTATTTACTTATATAACATGTATTTAGCAGATTTTGAATTGCAGTTTAATTTATTTAAGATTCATGGTTACTGATTTAAGTGTTTAGCTGAATTACAGACAACATTTTGTAAGGTAATGATGCAAGTAAGATTGGCCAAGCCTTGGTATTTCACTGGTGAGTTACTGAATGTAGACTACATTCATTTTCCTTTTTACCATTAGTAAATTACATCCATTCACCTTTGATTAATATGCCTGCTATATTTGGAGAGGCAGCTTTACAAACAATAGCAGGCAGATTTACCAAATCTGAGGCTAATGTCTAGCTCTTGAAACAAGTAACTGAGCAGAACTAATGATGTCATGTCTCATACTGACAAGTGAAATAACCTCCATTTAACTTCTGATGCCCCCAGACCCATTAAGTTAAATTTTCATCTTTACTCATTATTGAAATTAAATGCAGTAGAGTACTCACCACAATAGAGATCTTACAGAATAGTGACAATAATAACAAAAAACTACCCTGAAATTAAGAATACCATTTTCCACTCTGATATATCTCAGTAAATTTTATTTTATTAAAAAATCAGTTGTGAATAGTATAACATCCATATTCTTGTGATATTGTAATATTATATGTTTAAGTTACTGTACATAATGTGTGTGTGTGTGTGTGTGTGTATAATACTAGAGGCTCAGTGCACCAATTTGTGTACATTGAAAGGAAATTAATTAGAAGAAATTTTTAGAGGCCAAGGAGGGACCACAGGAAGTTGGTTCCAGGGAGTGTCCTGAGCATCTCACCCAGTCCCCAATGGGACCAATGAGGCCCAGCCAGCCAGGGAGGGACAGCCCAAGGGCTCCAGGGCATGTCCAGCTCATCTCACCCAGTCCCAATAGGCTGGACCCCAGCAGCAAGCTAGCCTACCAGTCAGAGCATCTGCTCCTTGGTGGTCAGTGCATGTTATAGCAACTGATCAAACAGTCTACTGAAAGGTCAGACACTTAGCATATGAGCCTTTTATATGTATAGATCTTATTATAGTATCTAGCAAAGAGAAAGAGAGGTGGGGGGAGTAGGAAAGAAAGATAGAAAGAAAAAGAGAAAGAAAGAAAAGGGAGGATGGGAGAAAAGGAACAGTGGAAGAAAGAAAGAGGAAAGAGAAAAATAGTAAATGAAAGAACATATACTATATGATATCATAAAGCTGTAGTTGGAATTAGGTACAATGTCACCCACATTTCTGTGTAACTATGGATTAATCAGTTGACCTCTTCGCTTCTTAGACTTCCAATCTCTACACTGAAGGCTGGAACAACTAAGAGGAGCTGTTCCTGATTTCTGCATTTCAAGAATTTGCATGTATCACCTCATCAATGAAGCATAATTACCTTTAGATATGTTTCATGATGATGCCAAATTTCTTGGACTACTTTGAAACAGATTTTCCTCAAAAATCCCTTGGTCTTGTGAATCATGTCAAAGTCATTCGTGGGCCATTTTTGAAGTCAGGGATTATGCTTAAATTGTTCCTTGAAATGAGATCAGCATGTCTACATTTTTTATTAGCACTATTTTTATAGTTGTAGGAATTTTAAAGAAACCTTATGGGGAAAATAGACTTATTATCTCATTTCTATTATTAAATGGCTTTAAAAAGACTATGAAGCAGCCCTATTTATTAAATTTCAAATCAACCTAGTATCTTTAGCTTGATGAAATGCAACTTGAATTTCACTTTCCTATTATAATGTATACTATACAATTTTCACAAAACCAATGACATTTTTTGAGGTATAAAAATATCAGTGGTAGAAATACACATTATATTTTATAAGAAAGGAAAAAGGACTTTCAACTCTTTTTGCTTAAATTTTCTGTAAAATAAAAGGTTCACCTACATTTTTATAGTTGTCTCTTAATACAAAAAAATCAGAAAGATTTTATTATACACACTTAAGGGCTATTTATGTCACAAAATTAACTAATTTAAGGAGCAGGATAAAATAGGTAAATTTTTTAAATGATAAAAATATTACTGATCAGATTATTTTAGAATTTTATTTTTATTGCCTTTTTTTTAATATCTGTTCTTCCTTAAAGGAAATTCATCAATTGAATTTAATTCTAACTAAATTCAAAGGAGTGCATCTGCTCTGGCCAAGAATGAACATGGTACTTTAAGTGTATATCATTCTTCATTAACTAAACTGAGACCAGAAAGTAAATCCCATGGTGTACTTACATCTGCCTACGATTTTTGTAGTATAATTAATGGCAAGTGAAATTCAAGGATGAAGGAGGCAAAATAGATAATTGTTTCAATACAGTGATAACTGATAGTTATCAAATAACACTTGCAAAATATTAAGACTTCCTAGAGCCTTGTTTGAGTTATAGAAGTACCTTACATATTTTGGAGATTAACTCCTCATGAGATATATGGTTTGCAAATGTTTTCTCTTGTTCTCCTGTTTTCTATTTTGCTTTTTTACATTATTGAATTTTTTTTAACCCTCCCCCAAAGATATATTTTTTTTTTACTACAGAGAGAAAGAGAGAGAGAGAGACAGAGACAGAGAGAGAGACAGAGAGAGAGACAGAGAGAGAGACAGAGAGAGAAATATCGATGTGAGAGAGAAACATTGATCTGTTGCCTCCCATACATGCCTATACTGATGATCAATCCCTTAACCTAGATATGTGCCTTGACTGAGATTTAAACACTCAACCTTTTGGTGTACTAGATGACACTCCAACCAACTGAGCCGCTTGGTCAGGGCCAAAAGAAGCTTTTTAGTTAGATGTAATCCCTCTTGTTTATTTTTGTTTTTGTTATCTGTGTTTTTAGTGAAATAATTTTATAGACCAATATTATGAAATGTCCCTAAGTTTTTTCTAGAAGTGTTATGATTTTAGTTCTCATGTTGAAGTCTTTAATTCTTTTGAGTTGATTTGTGTGCATGAAGGGTCTAAATTCCATCTCTTCCATGTAGATAATCATAAGCTCTCCTTGTTCTTTTATTGAGTGTGTTTCAGGGAGGGATATGTGGTTATCTTCTTCCCCTAGAGATAAGTATATTCCAGATTTCAATTTTTTTTTCTGGATAGTGTACTTATACTTTTTATTCTTCAATTAAGAATAGTAATTCCCTATATAATCTAAAGACAAATTAGACAAACAATTCATCCTCAAAATATTTGTTTATTGGCAATTATTGAGCATCTACAACATGCACACATTTGAATATTCTCCTAATCTTTGAAAAAGCATTAAAGCCTGTGCTTTGGGCAGAGTGTCTGAATGGCCACCAACACAGGAGAAGCAATCTGCACTGTGGATGCAGGGAGGCTAAGACTGAAGAGACCGTAATAATCCTGACATGAGCTGAGGAAGGTTAGAATTAAAATAAAGATGGTTCACAGTGATAAGAGAGAATAAAATTTGGGGAGCAGAGTTGTTGAAACTGATCAGATAAAATGATGAGGGAAAGAAAGCAACTGGTCTTGAGAACTTGAGAATTTTAGTCTGGAATATTTAAAGGAATGTGTTGCCTATACTTGTCACAGGAAACCAGGGAGGTAGGGCAGGTTGAAAGCCTTAGAACAAGTTAAGTTTAATAGCTGGCTGACATTCACAGATGTTCCTAAAGGCCATTAGGAATAGGATTATTTAGTAGGGTGAGCTCATGGCCTTTTAAGAAAGCTGTGATTCCTTTCCAGGAAATAGAACAGATGCACTTACAAAATTTATATCTGGAACCCTTTTCTTAGGCCTGGGTTAACGACCCCTAGGCAATTTTTTTTTTTAATTACACAGAAGTCTAATATTTTGTTATTTTAAGGTAAGCTGACTTCTACTTTATTGGTGACTTTTTAAAAAAAAGGACAACAGATTATCACTCCAGCAATCTATTAAATAATTGTTTAGTATTTACTTTATTGATGGGTTAGTTTGAGTTGTATTCAGCTTTTTTGTGACCTTGAGTTTTAAAGATATTTACTGTTAAGGAAGATATTACTGGTGCATTTAGATTGAACTACTTTGGAAAAGTTATGGTGTTTACCTGAAGCTAATAAAATAATTTATGTTTTTCCCTGTAAATGAGATCTGAAAAGCAGTCAATGTGTCAATACCAAAATTAACATGAAAAGGATCTACTATGAAATTAGGTTTCTCAAATAAAATGTAGTCCAATAAGAGGACATTCACTCTGTCTTCTTTCTGATGGGGATACTTTTCATCAGAATGTATGGCATGTTTTAAGGCCATAAACTTAATATGTATGAAGCCTGATGACTTTCAAGATCAAGGGATTGAGGTTCAATTTAAATGTATGCTTATTTGCTAAAAAAAGCACACACAAAATATCTTGCTGGAAAATAGATCAGGAGACATTTTGTGTATTCTTCTATCACCTGAGGAAATTGCAAAAGCATGCATTAAAATTGTATAAGATTTAGTATATACAGGCAGAGACTACTTTAGATAGATTTTTTTTTACAATACACTGATACTGTTCTGGCCTTGAACCAAAATGCTTCTTTTCTCTGTAAATTTCGGTGGAAAGATTCATTATTGTTGAATTTCAATATGATTGCTAATTAAATGATGCAAAACTCAATAAAATAAAATACACAAAAGACCAATTAGCATGTTATCTCAGTAAGTATACAGACGAATGAGGGAACATACTGTTCTACACAGTAGCGTATAATTAAGATGTAGTCATAAATCAAGGATATATTATAACTTGTATAGGTGCACAGGTGGCTTTTAGAAAGATAAATTAGCTCATCTCGCCCCCTTGAGATGCGAGTTCATAGTGATTCCTGCAAAATTAAACAGAATAATGTCTTAGACTTCCGACATTATGTATGCTCCAGTGCAAACAGCAAGCTGTAGAGAAATGTTTGCAAAGTGCTCATCTCCTTGTCCATTCCTGTTCCAGATGCCCTCTATGATGTTATCACTGTGGGAGCCCCAGCTGCCCATTTTCAGGGATTTAAGAATGGTGGTCTTCGGAAACTACTCCACAGATTTGAAACGGAAAGAAGAAAGTAAGTAATGACAATATGCATTAATGGTTATCTTCCCTTTGGAAAAGTCTACATACATATTTATAATAAAGAAACTTGGTCCGTCACAATGCATAGTTCTTGTATCGCAACCTATTTAATAACTTAAAGATGTTGAATTTCTAAAAAAAAAAAAAAATACTTGAATAGAAATGAAATTAGGATAAATTAATTACCTGAATAGTGTTGTGCAGGCAGAAAAATTTTTTTGGAACACAGCTATAAAAAAAAGAGTATTCTAGTATCAACTATTGCATATTCAGTGGAATGATGTTCAGGTAGAGATTTAGCTAAAAGCATTGTCTTATGTAATTGAAAAGCCAGACAGAGAGATCATGAGGCCTAATTTATGACTCTTACACTATTGATGATTTCACCACTGTAGTCCGAGGCAAGGCATATGAACTGCCCTGCCATTTAATTATGCCATTTGAAAAAGAGACATCAGTACAGAACTCTTATCAGTTACATGATGAGATTAAAAGAAAAAACATTCATTTCTTAGAGAAAAGGCATAACACAAAACCCAAAGTATTGTTTCTATTATTTATAACTAGATGCCCAGTGCATGGATTGTGCACCAGGGGGGTCCCTCGGCCTGGTCTGTGGGGATCGGGCTGAAGCCTGCTCTTCAACTTCCCCTGAGGGGTCCCAGAGTTTATCTTATAATATCATGTGACTATGACTGCACTTAAGTAAATCATAAAAAGTTTTATCCAGATGTGAATGGAAACTTCTTTTTAAGTATCGATAGTTACTCTTCTTAGATTAAGAACTCGAATTTTGAAAGTTAGGGGGAAATAGTATTTGGTTGTCATAGTTGGTTTAGTAGTAATATTAGAAAATCTACTCAAGTGGCAAAATCACCCTTTTTTAAAAAAAAGTTTTATCACATTTATAACATACATAACACATGTATTATTAGGTTTCCAATGTTCAGGACAAAAGCATTAAAAATAACAGAAGAATTGAATAACTGACATGCTATTATATAAATACTAGAGTTTCAGTGCACAAATTTGTGCACAGATAGGGTCTGACTGGCTCTGCCTCAACTGGGGCTGGGCCTGTCAAAAGGAGGAGATGGTGGGAGGTTAGCCAGTTGGCCCATCCCAATTGGGATCCGATCAGGGGCAGGCTGGCTGGGGACAAGGGCCGTAGGTGATTGGCTAGGGGGCCCTACTCCCAATTGAAGTGGAGGGGGCGAATTTGGGGTGGGGCCAGCCATGGTGAGGGGCTGTGGGCAGTAGGCTGGCCTGACCCACCTTCAATTGGTGTGTGAGGGGTGATCATCCGGGGTGGAGATGAATGGGGATAGGGGCCGCAGGTCGATCTAGGTGGTGGGGACTGGTCAGGGGTTGGGCTGACCATGGGGGGAGGGGCTGTGGAGAATAGACTGGCTGACCCGAATGGGGTGGGAGGTGCTGATTAAGGGCCAGTGGCCTGGGGGAGAGGTCATGGATGCTTGGCTGGCCAGCCCTGCCCTGATCTGAGTGGAGAGCCAATCAGGGGTGGAGCTGACTGGGGGGAGGAGCCATGGGCCTATTGGTGTGGTAGGGGCCCATCTAGGGCAGGGCAGGCTGGAATCAGGGGCCACAGGCAGTTGGCTGGCCGGCCCTGCCCCTGATCAGGGTTTGGGGGGCTAATCTGGGGTGGAGCCAGTTGAGAAAGGGGCAGCAGGAGGTTGGCTGGCCAGCTTCACTCCCAGATCAGGCTGGTTCACTGACCACAGTGGGTATCATAATGATCAGTTGTTCTGGTGTTATGGTTACTGACTTTTTATATATATAGATATAAGCTTATGAGGTACGTATATTTTTATTTCTTATTTTAAAGAAATTTACTTTGATACAATACTTGTACTATTAACTCAACTATAGCCCTTAGTGAGTTTTTGCCAAGTTTTTTTTGTTTTTGTTTTTGTTTTTGTTTTGGGTGAAGAGAGTATATAGTTCTATGAAACTGTATCATAGGTATAAATTAATCATCACAAAAAACTGTTCCATGACCACAAAGACACTCATTCTGGTTATCCCTTCTGCTGCAGAAAATAGTTCTGTTTCTTTATGATTGTAACAGGGAGCGGAAGTCAGAGTTCCAACCAGGGGCTCTGAGGGGAGAGGCACTCCTGTGTAATTCATGGGGGTAGGAAGTTGGTTCATTCACAGAATCTCTGGGGAAAGGATGCTATCTCTTTTCTAAAATGGGAATGGCAGTAGAATATAGGTTTCTGCCATGGTTTCTCATTGACCCTCTCCCTCTGCTGTACCAGCCTTCCAATAGGGAGAGACACTGCTATTTTGTGCTATTCACTCCCAGAATAGGCAGGTGTATTTAAAAGTTTTATTTTTGTTGGGCTACCCTTTTACTAGGCCTTTGTTTTTTCTTGGCTTCTATATCTCACTTGGCATTTTACAAGCACTAAGGGCTTGTTTAACACCCACTTTGGGATATATAGTAGTCAAGGGGAAAAAAAACACACACACAAAGAATTCACTATCATTGTCATATAAGTCCCCAGATCCTGTGGGCTCCCAGCCAATCTTCCTTCTTTGCTCTTAAAGTCTTCTGATAAATGACTTACATGTTGTGACTAGAGTATGTTTTGTGATTAGCAGGAAAAGGAAAATTGATTGTGTGTACTCCATCTTGTCTGGAACTGGGCAGCACTACCTTGAGAATTCACTTAATTTATTTGTTTTTCTCAATCCAATTTTAAAGTGCCTGACACAATTAAAAAATGGAAAACTGCCCCCAGGGCATAAAGACTTTAGCTGAAGGAGTGGAGCATCAGTATGTGAAGCATGGAACCTCACCATAGAGTATCATATGATACCACTGTGTGCTACTGGCAAAGACAAATGTTGAGTTTTATGGTTAGATTCTGAATAATATATCTTGTTTTAAATATCCTCATGGATATCTGAATTCTTTAGTATTCTTCACTTCTCACTGGGATATTTATATACATACAAACACACATGTAGCTATAGGATTAAACTTAAAATAAAAGATATTAGTATATCCAATACATTAAACATTGACTTGCTTTAGGGTTTTTAAATATGTATTATATATCCTATTCCTTTATGGGTAACTTTATTGATAAATACAGTGAAAATTTTTAAAAAGTAAAAAAAATAACCTGGTGTATATCTTAAAAGTACTCTGTGTAGGGCAGTAGTAAGGGACAAATGTGGTTTGTTAAGGCAATACATAAATAAGTACAATATCAGCCTGACCATCATGGTAAGAGCTGACCTGAGCAAACATGTTATGCCTAAAGTGATAACACACTATGAAAATTATTTTTCTGAGGGTTGTTTTTTCCACACAATATTGCATCTGTTCATCAAAAGCAATAATGGAGACATCAATATGTCTATGAAATCAGTAACTTACCTATACATGTAGAAGTGAAGAAAATCATGTTAAGTGAAGGACATTTTCTTTACCTCATTTTCCTTTTGCTACTTCCCCATCCCCACCAAAAAAAAAAAATAGCTAAGTCTTTTGGGCCAGTTTTTAAAGGGTACTACTACAGCTATTATATGTCTTCACCTTTTTCTATTTTCTTCTTCGCTAAGCCAATAAAATATTGTTTCCTGAGCACAGTAAATTTACGTGTCTGGTCCTTATTGATCTATTGTTTGATGAATTCATTGACCAGATAATGAAAAGGATTTTAGCATTAGGAAGACTTACTTTCTTGTAGTAATTATATAATATAATTCAGATCATATAAAATGTATTTTTAAAAGCTTAAAGATAATTAATTAGGCAGATTGATCTTTTTTAAAAAGAACAAATATAAAAGTTCATACTCCCCAGCTCAGAACCCTTCACATCCCTTCATGGAGTCCAGTCACAACCACTGGCCATTCAAAGCCTCTGTGAACTCACCCCACTGGCTTCCTACCTTCATCACTCTCCTCTCCCTATAATTGCTTCTTTTAAATGCTATGAAACCATGGACTTCACACTTGCCCACCTATTCCCTTTCCCACATTCTGTTCTCTTTCACTAGAAATTCTTCTGTTCTCATCTCCACACTATTTACATTGCTTTCTGTCCAAATCATACACTTAATTAATCCTTTTTAGGGCGCGAGTGAGAGGCAACTAGTCAGTGTTACTCTCCCATCAATGTTTCTCTCTCCTTTCTCCCCACCCCCCTTGCCTCTCTTCCACTCTCTCTAAAAACTATCCTCACTCCCCCAGAGAGGATTAAAAAAAATAAAGTGCTGAAAACTCCAGTGAGTAATAAAATTTCCCAAATATTCATAATACAATATGATGAATAGAGACAGCAGGGATTCTCAACCTTGGCTGCACATTAGAATCACCTTTGGAGATTTAGAAACATTTTATGTATGCCAGTATATTGCCCGAGACAAATGAAGTGAAAGTCCTGGGAATGGAGCCCAGGCATAGGTATGTTTTAAAAGCTTTCAAGGTGGATCTAATGTATGGCCATGGTTGAGAACACTGTTATAGATGTAAGTGAATAGTTCTGAGAGAGGACAGGTGAAGGGCATGGAGAATAGAAAGAGGAATAGTGACACAGATGAGTTGAACTTGAAAAATATATAAATACTCAATTGGTATGTATTGGGGACAAAGAAAATCCACACAAAGGAATATTTGCTGAAATGAAGAAAAGTATTATAATTTGCTTACCAGAAGTTTGTGTTTAAAAAATCCCAAACTCATTAAAAAGTTGCAAAACAGAATGGAAGATGGGAGTAAAGCTATAAAAATTTTGATCTTGGAAAATTTGAACCTGAGTAGCATCCAAAGAAATAAAAACAATCTAGTATGTGATAGAGCTTTTCATGCTATAAACATGAGATTTTTGTAGGGGAATGAAAAGGCTAAGTACCAGTATATTTTATTTAAAAACCAGATGTTTGTAACCTATGTCTTCACCGATCACATCAAATATCTATGTGTTCCTGGAGGCAGTGGTTTACCTATGACACT